ACCGGACGAGCCGGGCCAATTCGTGCGAGGATGTTAAAGCGGGTTCTACCACTGTTAAAAACTAACTGTTCTAAACATTCGCATTTATAATATTAGTAAGATATAAAAATATATATTTAGTATGGATGTGTTCTTTCAGACTATGTTCTATGCAGAATCTGGCATGCCCGTCGGAGGTGTGTCGTCATATAATTAGAAATTAAAATAATATATTATACATAATTTAAACACGTGAGTGCAATGGCTTTCCCTGGCATTATAAATAGAACAATTGACGCAAATTTGTATGGGTGTGTATGACTCTTATTTGGCTTAGGTTCACAATAATAAACAAAAGAAATCACATGTGAAACGACTCTGTCATTTGTCTTTTCTTTATTAATAGAATTTGACGTTTGGAATCTACCGTTGGCATAGACTAAATAGTACGAGATAACAGACCTTCCTTTAGGTATTAAATAGATTATTGAATTAAGATTTAAGAGTTTTTAGACATTATTGGTTAGAAACATTTAGAGCATGGCTTTCGTTACCAAATCAAGTGTCAGATTGATTAGTGAGGGGACATAAAGGTTGATATTTTAATAAGGCTAGTGTTGCGCTGGTACACCGATAAAGAATCGGATTTTCATTCTTAAATATATTGTGAAATGTCAAAAGAATTTTATAAAGTTCAAATCTAAAATGTCAAGGTATGGATACTTAACGTGTTTGTTATGTATGTACTCATATATTTGACGCTGTGTATGTACCGATGTATTTGAGCAGGGTGAATGTATCTATTAATTTGAGGACTTTTGTTGTACCGATATAATTGATTACTTTTGGTGTTCCTATATATTTGCATATCTTGTCTGCTACGGTATTTATGAAGCTGACTGTACATTAGTAAAATGTGTATAAGACATGGATACGTCAAAAATAGAACGACAACATTGATTAAAACATCAATAAGACTGATTGACGCAGTTCTTAAAGGGAGTGTGCGATGCCTCTAGTTTGGCTTCTCTTCAAAATGATATAATATGATGATAGACAGTCACGTGCTAAATACCATAACTATTCTTTATTTAAATTTGGAGAGATTATAAAAACATAGATACGTAACTTTATAATAGAACTAGCTGTCGCCCGCTACTCCGTCCGCACAGAATTAAAAAAAAACTTAATTAGTAACCTACGTGCTTTTCCAGACTATGGTCTACATCTATCCCTTTCAGCTAGATCCGTTGAGACGGTCCTGTGTTACCTTCTAACAAACCATCCATCTAAGCTGTCGCATTTATAATATTAGTAAGATATAGAACTGTTACTAAATCTGCAAATGCATTTCAAATAAGGTCATAGATTAAGCTAAGCTAGGTTTATTTGCTAGGTTCGGAGCGTCGGTGGCTCAGTGGTCAAGCACTTGACTTGCAATCTGCAGGTCCTGGGTTCGAATCCCGCCATGTACCAATGTGTTTTTCGATTTCCGATTTACATATGTACATTTACCCGACGTTCTTACAGTGAAGGAAAACATCGTGATGCAACCTGCACATATCTGAGAAGAAATTCAAAGATATGTGTGAAGTCAACCAACCCGTACTTGGCCAGCGTGGTTGACTATGGCCTAATCACCCTTAACTTAGCGTAGGTTCTGAGCCCCTCGGTGGGGAAGTATAGTGAGCTGATGATGAGGTTTATTTCTTAGTTTGAATTTAATTGATAATTTCTATTCGAGTTAAAAACAATAATGAGATGTAATTCTTTCAAAATACGACGAGATGTTACAATAATATAAATATTCAACAAAGCTATTGTTATCATATATTTTTAATTGGCAACAGCAAACGGAAATGTTTATCGAATACCTGTTTACATCGATCGTTTAAATGAGAAAATACGATAATGTTCACTTCCAGCGAACGACATTGAACTTGCAACGTATGTAGGAAACCGTAGATATGGATCTGTAGCTGTTGCACGCGACTCCGTCCGCGCGGAATTAAAAAAACTGAATAAGTCTGAATAAGTCCGGAAAGTCCACTTCCACTTCCCATTCTTTCCTTATAAAGAAAAGGATGGGAAGGGAAAGAGGACGGTACGCACACTCATCAGACGAAACGCGGAATCGCTTCCACTTGACGCCTGTCTTCTGTGTGGTCGTGGTATTTTACCGGGCGAGCCGGGACTATTCGTGCGAAGATGTTAAAGCTCACTCTACAACATACAAACGCATACTTTTTATATGCAAAAATATGTGACAAAAGACATATTGATTGTTATCTCCATCCATTTGAAGCCATGTTAAAAATAGATAAAGCCATTCAGTGATGTATTCACGTGTCGCGTTCGAGATATTGGCAAATCGCTCCCGTCCATTCAATACATAAATAACATAAATGAACACAATCAGGCAGACATCTTGTCGCCCGTTTGTAGATTTGATAAATAAAAATAAAATAACAATAAAAAAACAAATGCATTTTAATTAAATCTATTCGAATGTTCCTAATCTATGGGGGTTCTTAAATTTTTTATAAACAAGCGTAAAATTGATAAAAAAAGTATTTAGTAATAATTAATATTTTTTATTAATTACCTTCTATCTTACTAATATTATAAATGCGAATGTTTGGATAGATGGATGTTTGTTTGAAGGTATCTCGAGAACGGCTGCATGGATCTCGCTGAAATTTGTTATAAATGTAGAACATAGTCTAGAAGAACACATAGCCTACTAATTAAGTTTTCTTAATACCGCGAGGACGGAGTCGCGGGTGATAGCCATATTTAAATAATCCTGGCAATAATTGACACTCCTTTTCGATTATGTCAACATTCAGCGTAACAATTTTCACCTCGAATCTGCTGTCAAAATATTTTTTTTTAAATTGAGAACAAGCAGTTGCTCGAAAGTACATCCACACGGAATTATAAGTTTATTAGTAATAAGTATAGTGTATTTCACCCGGGGATAGTGTAGCTTCACAATAGTTAGTTTTTTTTTTCAAATCGGTCCAGAAGTTTCGTAGCCTATTCAATGCAAACAATCAAATATTATAATATTGTTATTAGTACGGGTAAAAGGGTTAACAATATGTTTTCTTATACATATTTCCGTAGTGGAAACTTACTGTAAGATAATATATTTGTCTATGTAGTCTCTGATATGATTCGGTAATAGACGTGTTATTTCGCGCGACTATTTTTATCCACCCCACTTGCGGTCATCCCAATACTTCCGTAATGTCATAGCGTTGTTATATGGTCAGGAATATCAATTGATTTTATATTATATAATTTTTAAACTAATCTTATGAATTTCTGAGACCAAAATCTTCGTTTAAAACTGTCTAAAAACTTTGTAACTCTATTTTAACAAGCAAGATATTACGTCTTATATTTTGGTCTCAGAAACTCTTAGTAAGCCTATGTCAAATCATCAAAAAATAAAAAAGGTCTTGTATTTTATCAATATCTAAGAATATCTCATTTATAATATTTATCTCCTTTTTTTATGTTTTTAATTTCATCTCATCGCCTTCATTCGTATATAAAAACTGTTAAAACCTTTTATCGTCTGTCTTATAGCATTTCTTTTGTACCAAAGACTAACAATGAAGGTAATTTATGACAGCCTAACCCTCTACCCGTATAAACATACAAACAATAATCTATGGTTTACGAGTGTGCACTGCCAGTGTTCATGACGTAAATTGGAAAACAGACCACAAACAAAGTCTATGGTACTTCAATTTATAGCATAACCAGGAGTAAAAACCTTTGCCTTTATATCAAACTAGCTGTAACGCGACTCCATCTGCGCGGAATTAAAAAATAAACTTAAAAAGCCTATGTGTTCTTCTAGACTATGTTCTATATGTGTGCCAAATTTCATCAAAATCCGTTCAGCCGTTCCGGAGATACCTTCAAACAAACATCCATCTAAACATTCGCATTTATAATATAATATTAAAGTCAAATTAAGTATTAATTACTATAAAATGGTGTGAGAATGTTTATTTAAGGTCCAAACGAAACAAAAGATGAACACTTGTGAAAACATTCATTTGTAACATCATCAATTGTTTTGTGTTGGTATTTGACATTCCACAACATATCGCGTATCCTTTATATATAGTTATCTCTTATTTTTCAAAAAGAGTGAGCGGGAGAGAAAACACGCTTAAGAAATTTGTTTTTTACTGTATATTGGCAAGCCACAAATGCATCGTTATAACCTAAAATTGGTAATTCCGAATGAAATCGACTCGAATCCTTTAGTAAGTTGAAAATACACATTAAGTCTTTTGTAAATTGTATTCTAGACGTATTGTAGAGCATTATAAATTATGAAGCTGACATAATATGCAGAAATACGTCGCATAACCTCTTATCAGATCCATTTATATCTAAGATTATAAACCTGAGCGCTTCAACGTTAATTTAAATTCGCATTGTCTTTTGTTTGTTTTCTGCAACATAACTATTCCGATTGCTTTAATCTCTTTTAAATTACATATTAGACGAATTATTATTCACCTAAATATAACAATTATAAATAATAATGTGCAGGATTCTGTTTCGTCATTTTTCAAGGGAAATAAAGTATTTAAATCTTACTCTTACTAATATTATAAATGCGAATGCTAAGATGGATGGATATTTTTTTGAAGTTGATCTCCAGAACGTCTGAATGAACCTCGATGAAATTTGACATAGATGTAGAACATAGTCTGGAAGAACAAATAGACTACTTAATAAGTTTCTAATTCCACGCAGACGGAGTCGCGGACAGATTTATTTCATAAATCTGATTCTCCGAGTTCTAATAGGAATTATTAAGTTCCAAAGGCATAATGAGGTACGACAGGTGCCCCTTTATAATCAATTCTTGCACCTGTAATGCTCTCTAAGATTTCCTCTGACACCAAAAAGGGTGCGACATAAAATCTTGCATTGGGCGCCAGAAATGCTAAAGCCGGCACTGACTAATTTCATTGTTTCTTTAACAGCGAACATCGCGATCGCGTCCACTGGATATTCGATGGGATGGACATCTCCAGTGAATATAAAATTACAAGACAAGAATGCGACCGACTCCCCATTGCCTGAACCACTATCGCCGGATGAATTAGCCTGGGTTGGATCACTGCTTCCAGTTGGTGCTATATTTGGTGCGTTTATTATAAACTAAATACTTAGTTTTTTTAAGACATCACCCATGTTGAAATCATAAATAATTTAAAAAAAATCTTGTTACTTAAAAGAATAAAAAGACGAAGTACTCAAGACAAGACGAATGAGCCCAAACTTGATGAGGTTATGTAGTTTCATTACGAAGTTCCTATTGCGATATAGGTAGGGAACCGTACATTTAATAGAGATAAAATGTTGCCTATGTTCCAAATTACATCCAAATAACTTCACCAGTTCCTAAGCTACGTGCTAACAAACTTTTGCATTTATTATACCAAAGATACATTTTACTAGATGTAGTATAAATACACCAGCAAGAAGCCGAGACCCTTAACTTAGGGTAGGCTCCTGCCCTGAGCCCCTTGGTGGGGACATATAGTGAGCTGATGATGATGAATAAAAATACTAAGACATTTCTCAACAGGGCCTTTCATCGGTGGTTTAGCGGCATCAAAGATAGGTCGCAAATGGGGTCTAATGAGTTCCGCTATCCCACTATTCGTGGGCTGGATTCTAGTCGCCGTGGCCAAGAACGTGGGCTACCTTTACGCCGGACGGATATTCTGGGGCATTGCTGTGGGCATGCTCTTCACTATATCGCCAATGTATTGTGCCGAAATCGCCACTGTGAGTAAATTATACTTAAGAGAGAAATCTTTATTTTCTCTTGATCTATACTAATATTATAAAGTGAAAGAGTTTGTTTGTTTGTTTAAACGCGCTAATCTCAGGAACTACTGGTCCGATTTGAAAAATTCTTTTTTTGTTGGATAGTCCATTTATAGAGGAAGACTTTAGGCTACATGACATTACGCTGCGACCAATAGTTTTTTTTCTGCGCGGACGGAGTGGCGGACGACAGCTAGTTTTCTATAAAATTCATCTTAAATAAAGCAAATTGTAGATAATTTAACAACGCATAGTAATATTTTTTATGTATTTCCTTGTCAATTGTCTTCATGACCCAGAAATTTTATAGAATGGTCGTATTGTTATACATATAGGTCAATAGCCGACATGTCTGTCGGGTTATCTGTTTATACCCTAAATACAAATATAATAGAGTATTGTCATAAAACGCACAAAGGAAGACATAATTTTTCTATATAGAAATATTGGAAAAAATAGCCTAAAGACTACTTTTTATACCCGCGTGCAACAGCTATCTTCCCGTCGAAATCTGGCCATCCGTTTCAAAAATTACCAGCAACAAACGTGGCCTTTTGTACAGACAGACAAAAATTTTAATTGGATTTTCATTATCAGCAACGCAAACACATCATATGTGTGACATTACATATTGACAATCCAATTTTATTAATATGTAAACAATGGGTTACATAATAATTTTTTCCTTAGAATGAAGTCCGCGGTGCACTGGGTTCGTTCCTGCAAGCATTCATCACTCTCGGCTTCTTGTTGGTATACGGAATAGGTCCCTTCGTCTCATACAACGTAGTAGCGTATGTGGGCGTCGCGTTTGTAGCAGTCTTCAGTATCTGCTTCTACTTCATGCCTGAATCACCGATGTATCATCTTATTAAAAGTAAGTACACAGCCGTGAAGTTACGACGAAGGAAAACATCGTGATGCAATCTGAGAAATACAATATGTGTGAAGTCAACCCGCACTGAGCGAACGTTGACTATGGCCTAGTCACTCCTAACTTAGTGTAGGCACAGAGCCCTTCAGTGGGGACGGATAGTGAGCTAATGACGATGACAGGGACGGCAACCAGGGCGCTGGATAGAAAGGGGCGCCACGTTATTTAGTAAGGCTAATATAGTTTAAATCTTGTAATACTAAAGTTATAATTTTCTAGGTGATCGTGAGTCAGCTGCGGAATGTTTGATGACAATCCGCGGTAGATCCCGCACTGGTATTGAGACGGAACTCAACCAGATCGCGGCAGACGTCAACGCTTCTATGGAGAAAACCGCCACTGTGAGTAAAATTATCAGAATTATGCCATTGTATGAAAACCAGGTTAATTTAGATGCAAAAATGCAAAATCGTCTAAAGTCAATCCTTAAAACTTGCACAAAGATAGAGGAAGATAGAAGAAAGTATAAACAGATTAGTTGCGCCTCAGTGTTCTTCCAGACTATGTTCTACATCAGTGCCAAATATAATCAAGATCAGTTCAACCGTTCCGGAGATACCTTCTAACAAATATCCATTCATCTAAACTTTCGCATTTAAAATATACCAATAGTAACCAGTGACTCCGTCCGCGCTGAATTAAAAAAAAACTTAATCAGTAGCCTATGTGTTCTTCCGGATTATGTTCTACATGTGTGTCAAATTTCATCAAAATCCAATGATCCGTTTCGGAGATACATTCAAACAAACATCCATCTAAACATTCGCATTTATAATATTATATTAATAAGATTGTATGGATTCTTAAAAAGGGAGTGCCAACATACATTTACAGTCAAAAATATGTTGTTAAGTCAAAATAAATGTTTTCAATCATCATCAGCTCACTATACGTCCCCACCGAGGGGCTCGGAGTCTACACTAAATTAAGGGTGATTAGGTCATAGTCAACCACGCTGGCCAAGTGCGGGTTGACTTAACATATATCTTTGAATTTCTTCTCAGATATGTGCAGCATCACGATGTTTTCCTTCACCGTAAGAACGTCGGATAAATGTACATATGTAAATCAGAAATAGAAACACACATTGGTACATGATTCGAACTCAGGACATGCAGATTGCAAGTCAAGTGCTTGACCACTGAGCCACCGACGCTCCTATTCTCGCTCGCTCCGATGTTTTCACTGGACTTGTTAAATGTAATTTCCTTTGAATATATTAATCATTTTGACAACATAAATAATTAAAGATATTAAACAGATGCATTCTACCTTGGCTGTAATTTTGGTATAGTTTATTTATTAAGGTTTACGTTAACCACAATAAATGGAAATTCATTGCCAATATTTAGGTAATTCGTTGGATAACAAACTATTTGAAAAGGAAATTTATAATTGCTGACGTATATAAAGGCAAAATACGTAGTTTATTATATTGTAACGTATTTAATCGCGAAATATTCTGTGGCCCTAGCACGAATGTTTGTGACAATCGCCATCGTATCGTATTTTAACAGTGGTAGAGCCCGCTTTAACATGTTCGCACGAATAGTCCCGGCTCGTCCGGTGAAATACCACGACCACACAGAAGACAGGCCTCAAGTGGAAGCAATTCCAACTACAGTCTGATGAGTGTGCGTCCCGGAGGCCTAATTTAGTCCTCTTTCCCTTCCCACCCTTTTTTTTACCGGTGGCCGCTCGCTCCTTTGCCATCTTATGATATAAAAAAATCGTCATCGACATTTTATTAAAATTTGTGCAGTTTGGGGCGTAAAGTACACCAAAAATGTCATGCTAATTTGGACATAATTAACAAAGACTAAATAAAGACGATTGTCACTATTATTCTTGATAGATTCACATACACTTTTTATCTTACTAATATTATAAATGCGAATGTTTGAATGGATGGATGAATAGATGGATGTTTGAAGGTATCTCCAGACTATGAATCTCGCTTAAATTTGGCATACTTGTGGAACATAGTCTGGAAGAACACATAGGCTTATTAAGTTTTGTTTTAATTTCGGGTGACTACTAATAATATAATATTATAAATGCGAATGTTTAGATAGATATATGTTTGAATTTATAATTTGATGTATGTAATTTGTCATACATATAGAACATAGTCTGGAAAACATAGACAACTATTTTTTTTTAAATACCGCGTGAAGGAGTCGCTTGTGACAGGTAGAATATAATATTATTTTTTAACAGTTGGCAGACGTGTTCCGCGGCAGTAACTTCAAAGCTTTTTACATCTCTTGCGCGCTGGTATTCTTCCAGCAGTTCAGTGGTATAAACGCTGTTCTGTTTTACATGAACACAATCTTCAAAGCAGCTGGGTCTGATTTAGATCCATCCATTGCTACTATCATTATTGGTGCGGTGCAGGTGTGTATCAAAAATAAATGTTAATTTTTCTTAATTTATACCTCTGGATATTTCAAACTGTGTTAAAAAAGGAGTCAGTACCGACTAGTTTCGAGCCCATCGTATACCTTTATCAGGGTGAGTGGGTCGTGTAGTATGTGGACCTTGATGAAGGGCCCTCGATGGGCTCGAAAGTAGTCGGTGCCGACACCGATCAATCATAATGTGAGTGTTGATTTCTGAAACCAAAATCTCTATATAAAATATATCGTCTTCCTTGTCATTACCTTTTACAAAATAGAGATAACAATATGTTTTAAACGGGAACTTTGGTTTTAGAAACCTAATGTTAGCAGTTTATATATCAGTTAAAAATAAGGAGGTTCTTAATTTGACTGTATTGTTTTTCTTTTGTCAAGGTCGTGGCATCAATGATTACGCCATTGGTGGTAGACAGGCTTGGTAGAAGAATTCTCTTGTTAGTCTCTACATGCGGAACCGCCATTGGTTTGGTAAGATTTTATTATGTTTTAATATATTCACCTCTATAATAAAAGCATCGTATTAAAAATAAACTTATTTATCCGACTCCAAGGACCAATTTTATTTTTTTATTGTTTTTCTCGTTTTTAAAAACTGAATTAAGAATTACTTTTTGCCTCAAATTAAAGTAAAATAATATTTCTTCGACTAAATAACCAAAGATTTAAGATAAGTGGCAAATACTTTAACTAAAGGATTATTTCCAGGCTCTTTTAGGTATGTACTTCCTGCTCAATTCACAAAACAGTCCAGTGGTATCCAGCATTGGGTTCTTACCTATCCTCTCCCTGGTCTTGTTTATCGTCACTTACTGCTGGGGTCTGGGCCCTCTGCCCTGGGCGGTGATGGGAGAACTCTTACCCATTGAAGTTAAAGCCGTCGCCTCACCGATAGCTACTGCTTTCTGCTGGATCATGTCTTTCTTGGTTACCAGGTAAGTTATTATGAATATTAAAAAAAAATGTGTGGACAATTTTGTTAGAATTACTATTGAATCTCTTTAGTCTTTAACCCTTAAGGTACTTTTTGATACGGTTCTGTACCCTTTAAATGGTGTACTATTGGAACCTGAGAGCGTCGGTGGCTCAGGAGTCAAGCAGTTGACTAGCAATCTGCAGGTCCTGGGTTCGAATCCCGCCATGTACCAATGTGTTTTTCTATTTCCGATTTACATATGTACATTTATCCGACGTTCTTACGGTGAAGGAAAACATCGTGATGCTGCACATGAGATGATGATTTGATGAGAAGAAATTCAAAGATATGTGTGAAGTAAACCCACACTGGGCCAGTATTGACTACGGCCTAGTCACACCTTAGTTAGAGTAGGCTCGGAGCTCCTCAGTGGAGACGTATAGTGAGCTGTGCGCTCTTCAGAGTAGTTTCTGACATGACGTAAATATGATACCACCAGGTTCTTCGAGCCGATCGCTGAAGCTGTGGGCATGTACGTGGCATTCTGGATATTTGGTGTTTGCTGTGTGTGCGGATTCTTCTTCACATTGTTCCTGGTGCCGGAGACCAAGGGTAAAAGTCTGCAGGAAATTCAAGAGATATTGGCTGGCGGGTATGCATCTTTATTACAGTTAAAGAATTAAACTTCCCACAGGATCGAATATTGTACAGCAAAAATTACCTTAAAGCTCTTCGTGCATAAGGCAACGTAAATCTTTGAAACTAACATTGTATGCTTCCATTGAATCTTGCACGCACTCCGTACACATAACGTGGAATCGTCTATTTGGTCAATATAGAAACTTCATGTCAACTGTATAGATTTGCTGCGCCATTTTGAAAATCGTAACTTTTCTCACGTTCTTGACAAACAGTTTACGCGCGAATGGCTTAGACGATGACAGATAGAAATGTCAACGATACGTGTCTATGTACGATACTCTATGACATTAAATTGCGAATACACTTCTAGATTAAAATCACCGGGGGGGGGGGGTTTAGAAAAAGTTCATTCGGTAAGCCAATCCGTAAAAAACTTCAAAAATGTATTTAACTGTCAATAACTTTCTATAAGTCACGTGATTGTCGTGCAGTTCATCGCTTCGAAGCGAATGCACTTTGTCTAAACACCCCGGATCTCAAAGTTTACATTGCCTTATCTACGTAGAACTAAAGAGCTATGAGTGCAGAGGAAATTCGTCAATGTTATTTCACTGGATAGGAAATTAACATCCCCGACTTTAATAATATTAATGGTTATACTTTTTTTACAGGAAATCAAAGCCCGAGAAAGCTTAATCCTTGAATATAATCTGTGGAGTTTGAAATACAGCGAATTATAGATAATATATTAGTGAAATTAGCATATATTTTGTATTACTATTTTTTCTATTGTGGTTATTGTGTGTGGTCAAATATATTTATACCGTTTTTTTATATAAGAATATATCTTAAGTGTTACAAAAAACAGTGTGATTGATCAATTTCTATTAGCAGTATTAATTATTATGCTTCTTATTTAAATAGTCGTTGCTATAAAATTCAATTACAAATATTTTTGATCCAAATATATCTCTAGTTAACAATACAGTAATGTCATCTTAATTTTTTTATAACTTAATTTATATTTTTGTGTGTTTATTTAATTACTTATTTATTTTTTACAAGAAAATAGTAGCCAAATTGTCAAGTCAGGGACTAATTTAAAAAAAAAAAAAAACTATAAACGCTGATTCGTATGAGCGCTTTTTAACGACATGTTAAGGTTGGCAGCTCTTTAACGATGAACGTTTTAAATTCAGAGTTCCGTTCATACAACGTTGCGCAAAAATAGCGTCGCGTTTTTAACGGACGTTATTAAAAGCGCTCATACTAATCAGAGCTAAAGTTAGCAAAATATAATTTATTTATAAATTTTAATAGCTAAATTATATTTAATTTATTTGCTTGATAATCAAATATAACCCAGTGTATATTAAATATTAAAAAAAATTACCTTTTAATATACAAAATAAACAAAAAATATTTTGACATTAGATAAAATATCTGTAAACCATAGATTATAGGACATTTTTACAGGTAATTAATCTATGATGAAATATTTGACATCTAAAATTATAAAATAGAATTTCCAGTCACTGTGTTTTAAATAATTAAAAATCACTGGGGAATTTACCCCAATAAAAGGCCTTTGTGTTCCGTATTAGTTTTTAGGTTATATTCCTATGGTTTCTTTTTTATAAACACGTTAACAGGTAAATTAATATATGAATGAGATACGACTAGTACCAAAGTACAAAGTTAGTCGATAGGTTATTTGAACACCACTTTTGTGATACATGAATGAATTTATATTTGTTATTGTAAATAATATAAGTTAAGATTATTGTTTTAATAAATCTTTTATTTTATATGCATATTTTATTTACCAAATAACTGCAAATATTTTATAGAGTTAAAAAAAAACACGAAACATCAGGGGATGGATGGGATTAAGTAAGATATCACAGGTATTTATTTTCTGATAACGTTTTGATGAAAAAAACATTATAATTTTGAACATTTCAATATAACTTTTTAAAACCTGACAAAATATAACCTTCAACCCATCTTATATATATAAAAGAAAGTCGTGTTAGTTACACTATTTATAACTCAAGAACGGCTTTACCGATATGGTTGAAAATTGGTGAGGAAGTAGCTTAGAGCCAGGAGACGGACATAGGATACTATTTATTCTCGAATTTATGCCTTGAAGAGCTGCTTTTAACTTATCTATATATTAAGTTTTTTATATAGGTATCCACGCGGACGGGGTCTGAGCGACAGCTACTTACAAATAAAAGGCAAAGGTCAACAAGTTACTAATAAACATCATGTTTTTCAAATAAGATTATCTTAAACAAGATTGAATTATAAAGATTTTTACAATGAAAAGGTCATTGTCTCAACAATAAGACATTGTTAAACTGATTATGATTTTATCAACCACTAACTGTCGCCCGCGACTCTGTCCGCGCGGTATAAAAAACTTAGTAACCTATGTTCCAGATTATGTTCTACATCTATGTCATTATTCGTGTTCCGTTCAACCGTTCTGGAGATACTTTCAAACAAACATCCATCCATCTAAACATTCGCATTTATAATATTAGTAAGGCGTTGTTTTATTTCATCGATAGAAAAATGATTTCGATTGTTTTTTTGTTGTTTTTTTTAAAGATAAAAGAAAAACTTCATTTTTTTAATAAATCATTTATTTGCATTTTACAATAAATGTAAGTTATCGGACGTAATTGAGAAATTTTACAATAATATTGTACATTTTTTTTACATTTAAAGGTTTGTATAATTTACGTTAAATTACTTAATTTAATTATTAATTTCAAGCTTAACGTTTTGAAGATGGGAAATTTAGTTTGAGTTAGTATCTACCTTAAAAATGATACTTTGCTTTTGTAAATTTTAAGAAGATGATAAAATATAAATTATACTTCGATAACCTTTGAAAAAAGGCACTCTAAGAATTTTCATCATTACTATAAAAATTGTTAATTTTGTTTAGGCAAATATGACTGAAAATAAGCTGCCTATAAAATTGCTAAATAAAAATTTCAAGAATTTCATTAAGAAATCAATTTTAGAGATTCTTACTTGTTATTCCTATTTATTGTTATTACCTCGTTACTCATTTTTTTCTTTTTTTTCATCTGCTTGTGGCACAATTATTTTGACGTAAAAGGTTAACGGAAGCATTGTTTTTTTAATATTTGCTGAATTAAACTTATAAAATTAAACGCTTATTAACGCTATTCGTCAGTCAGTCATGTTTATATTACTTTAGTAGATGTTTACAGATAATAAATTATCTATTCGTCAATAATATCTTTATTTAAAATTAAAAAAGGCACTATTCGAACTCCTTCGATATATCGTCCATAGCTGTCAGTACATCACAAATACTGGCCGCATATAACCTTATATCATCATTCTTTTTAATTTTCAAACTGGCACAATACAATTTTTTATACATATCTGTCATTTTATCGTAATCTTTATTTGATTTAGACCTACAATATTGTATGATGCTTTTCAAAATAAAATGTAACCTATTTTCGTATAAAGAAAGAAGACTGTGTTCGTTCTTTATTGTCTTCTCTTCTGCGTCTTCTGGTTTCGGTGGCTCCTTCTCTTCTGGGTCTTTGTTCTTTAGTAATGTCATAACAGAATGACATTGACGTAAAAGTTGGACAGCGGTTTGCAAAGATTTGAGTTTAAGGTTAGGTGATACTGCAAAAAATAATATTATTTAAAAAATACGTTGTTTGACAGTTCAAAGATTCAAAAACGTCCTACAACCGTACTCAGAGTCAACAAAAGATTGTCTTAGTGTAGATTTTGTATGAGAAATCTACAGTAATGAGATGTTTAAGTACCCAATAAACACTAATAGGGCGGCAGTAAGCGAAATTTGTTTTAATTTAGGCATAACTAACAAACTAATAGCTGTTCTACTTATTTGTGTTATATTTAAGTAAGCTATCCTGTTCTCACAATCAAATATGTTTTAAAAAGATTTAAAAATGTAGGAATATCACAGTGGTCGTAACTTTTATTACTCTATGATTATTTTTTATCTGTTTCATATTTGTCTATGACTTTACTTTTTTAAAACAAACAAATCTTAAAATATCACGGCTATGGTTTTATTAATGTTTGTATAATGTCAAAACAGTTTAATAACAATTTGTTTGTTTTATGTCGACGTGGCATCGCATACGCTACTACAAAAAAATATTTACATAAACAGATTTACTATACTTCCTCGAGTCTTTAACGCATCCATTTTATATCTACTGTTAGGAAGAAAACCCGACAATGTGCCGGTGTACTGGCGCAACACTAGCCTTATTAAAATGTCAATTATGTCCCCTCACTAATCATTTTGACACTTGACTTTGTAACGAAAGCGCGCCATTTCGCGCCAAAGGATTCTATTTAATATATTCTAAAAGTATATAACTTTAAGATTCAACTGGATTATAATTTTTTAGATAGCAAAATGTATATTTGGCATATATTAGTAAGATATTCTCATATCAAAGCAAAGCTCTTATCAATAGAAAAAGCAAGAAAACGAAATCCGCGTACATGTGCTAGTATACATTTAGCGTAAATCAACATGCCACGTCAAAACCGGTGAGTTGGCAATGCGCATTATTTTATTGGAGCTGATTATAAACATATCTTTATTTACTTGGCAAATAACATAAGCTATTATGTATTTTTAAATATGACATTATATTGACGAATGTTTTCAAACAACTGCAAGATATTAAAATTTAAAAATTAATTTCATTAGATTAGATTTGATTACGAAACGTAAATTCTAGAGTACCAATAGCCTAGTGGTTAAGAGTACGGGTTTCCGATCAAGTCGAGAGTTCTCTCTAGAAGTCTATTGTAAATCATATCCTATCCGAAACCTTTTAGGGAACATACCCATACTACGTGAATTATTTTTTAGTTTATTCAACGCCTCCTTCCTCTCGGTGAACACTCGTAGTATAAACCAAAACCCCCTCTCCCCCTTTAGTTTTTTTTACGTATTAATTAATTGCATAAGACTGCATGCATACATAAATTACTAGTGAATTATTTATTATGAAAAAGAACAACTAACGACTACCTGACAAAAACCTGACCCCCCCCCCTCCTGTGACTGACCGTAGTATTTCAAAGACTCCGCCCCCCCCCCCCTAAAAGGGTCACGTAGTATGGGTACGTTCCCTTAGTACAATAAATATTAGTAAATTAACACATTATTCCTAATATAAAAAAAAAGGTTTGTCCATTCAAATTTTAGTTAATATTAATAAGAATTGTAAGCATCAACAGCTTAATGGTTAAGGGTATACAATCATGTGGTCGGAGGTTCGAAATACGATTCGACTATTATAAACCAAATCCTAGCGAGCCTTGACCTTACTTTTAGACATTACTAGCTGTCGCCCTCAAATACGTCCGCGTGAATATATAAAAAAAATAATTAGTGCAGCCGTTCTTGAGTTATAAATATTGTAACTAACACGACTTTCTTTTATATATATATATATAGATATTAGAATCCTTTGTCGCGAAATGACGCGCTTTCATTACAAAGTGAAGTGTCAGAATGATTAGTGAGGGGACATAAATGATATTTTAGTAAAGCTAGTGTTGCGTCACATCGGTATATCGGATTTTCTTTCTAACCGTTTGTCCACTCATATCTCAGTTATTCTAATCGGAATTAAAAAAAAAGCTATTGCATTCCATAGGTTAACTAACTATGTTTTCCCACTTACCAGCTGCCTGAGTTTCCATAGCGGCGACATGTTCCAGTCTGACGGTCAACACCATACCGGCGTCCTCCAGAGCAGCGAACAGATTCGCAGCCGACTCGTATTGTACACGAGTTGCATTCAACAGAGCACGACGACGTGCACCCTCCTCACGTGTTATTCTATACAAACGTTATACCTATTGATAGCCTAGCCTAATGGTTAAGGGTATGGATTTCCGAACGAGGTCGGAGGTTCGAATCTCGCCATTCGACTATTATCGTAAACCATATCCTAGCACAAGTATAAAACTTAGTTGGAATGATAAAAGAAATATAAGTAAATTTCCAAAAAAAGCTGCTAACATTTTAGAAAAAAAAACGAAACTAGTTTTTTTTCTTTAAATAGGAGAAGGGGCCAATCAAACGCCCATAGATTACAAAGTTGCGATATTAAGGTAGGGCGTAGTGGATCGAACGCCCAGGGCGCTTGGCATAAGGGGGCAGAAGATACCCT